TGTAGAAAAAGTTTAAATATTATTATACTTGTTTCCTAGTGGTGTTTTGTTTCGTTGTATTTTTAATTATTATTTGATTTCTCAACAAGGTGCCCCTGGTTTTAAAACGTTTCCATCCTTTTAATAAACGTATAAAATAATACTTTGAGAAAAGTTGATGTGTAGACTGAGAAAATAAAACTGAACTAAAAGTTGTCCAAGCAGAACCCTCTCCCTTCCTCCCTTCCTCCTTTATCTTCCTTCCTTACTTACTTACTTTCCTTACTTCTTTTCTTCTTTCTTCCACTCTTCCTCCCTCCCTCTCTTTCTTCCTTCCTTCTCTCTTTCCTTCCTTCTTTTCCTCCTTCCTTCCTTTCATTTCGTCTTTCTCTCTCTTTTCTCTCTCTCTTTTTTTTCCCTCCACTTTAAGGAATGATTGTGTAGTTAAATGAAATTTTTAAAAATTGTCTGCATTGAGCACTAGATAAACTATACAAGACTCTGGATTGTATATGAAGTGCATTTGTCCTTGTACATATTCTAAAGCTTAATCAATGGTAGGCCTCTCCTTACAACAGCCCTGTTCCTTGAGATAGGATACGTAAGAAGCTTTGTAAATGATATTGCTTTGTACTAGGACAGGACATCCATCCTCCTGAATTATATTCTGTTTCAAAGAAGATGATGAATTAAATGGGATATATGCATGCTTGCTACCTCTTGCTACCTCTGTTATTAATTCACATCTGGGATAGTCTGTCATCTCCACTTTTTTTTTACAGGAGGATTTTTTTTACAGGGTGGAGACTCCCCCCTCCCCCCAGCATACTTAGGTTTGCAGACAACTCAATAAGCTTTTCTGCCTTGTTTTTTCTCTTCTGAAACTGCTACTGAACTAGTCCTATTCCTATGTAATGTACAGGAGAAATGCTGTATAAAACATTTCAGCTGTTTATTGAAGGAAATTAGCACACACATGCACAGGTGTGTTTCCATATGAAATTTAGTGTGTTGCTCTAGTCTTATATAAAGAGGTAGTTTACAACTCTTGCCCATAATGATAATATCTAGATATCATTACAAACAGACGAAAGATAATAGCTTTGTTAAACAATACTTGGAGAGCCAGGCAGCCTGACACATTCTGTGATAAGTTTATAAACTTATTAAGTATCTCAGTCTAGATTGAGACACAAAACCATATTTTTAAGTTTAAAAAGTTGGGTTATATGGCTAAAGTTGTAAACTTGTATAGTTTAGCTAGTGCTCAATGCAGACAATTTTTAAAACTTTCATTTAACTACACAATCATTCCTTAAAGTGGGGGGAAAAAAAAGCTTGCCATACAAAAAGGAGCAGAGAAGCACGGTTATAAGGGAGGAAAGTCTAACAATCTTTGGTTACAGATCACAGCTATTCTGCATTTGAGCAATGCTGTGAATCTCCCTATATCTTTCTCAAGCTGCTGTACCACCAGTCATGCTGCTTTTTTGTCAGTATACTTACTGTGTCTACATGAGGATCTTCTGCTCTTCCAGACACATTGAACAAGGACTTCTGCACTTTCTTGCCTACTGAAATGAGGCTGGAACAAGTGTATAGTGTAGGCCTGGTTGGAATCCCTTCAGTCATCTGGAGCATGCTAGCTCTGTAATCTCACATCATGCCAAGATTTATAACAAAAGTATTGTCTTCAGATAAAATGACAGACAGTAGTGGCTTTTTGCATAGGAATGAAAAATCTGAAAGCACAGATAATTTCTGCTGGAATTCTGTTAAGATTTCAACCCGCAGACGTCTTGAATCATAGAAATATATAATCACAAAATCACAAGGTTGGAAATGACCTGCAAGATCATCTAGTCCAACCGTCCCCCCGTTACCATTGCTACCACAAGCCACCAAACCATCTCTTGTGACTTCTCATCCAGACACCTCTTGAACACTGCCAGGGACGGCGATTCCACCACCTCCCTCGGCAGGCCATTCCAGTGCCTGACCACTCTCTGAGAGAAAAAGTTTGTTGGTGGTTTGTTTTTTTTTTTAATTTGCTTTGGTCATTGCTTCATTAGATTATAGTAGGTTTTAAACTGGTTACAGGTACAAGTCAACTTAAGTAATTGTCCTTACAGAAAAATCACAATTTTCTCTCTATCATTATTATTATTATTATTATTATTATTATGCCTATTTGAGAGTACAGAATTTTCTCAAAAATTCCAGTATCTCCAGATATACTTCTTCTTAACTTCTTCTTAACCATTACTGAATACATGACCTGGATAAGAAATCAGCTTAATTTCTGCAATATTTATTCAGTACTGGGTAAAAAGCCAGATGTAAAACAAATTCTATGCAGGATGATCTATTTTCTGGCAAAGTCTTCCTAATATCAGTGAAAAAGGATTTTTATATTTTTACTTATATACCACTTCCTGATGAACCCAGATACACTTGAAGATCCCAATCTGTGACTCATGTTTAGGATTAGCCCATTTGTTTCACATAAGAAAGTGAAATTACCTGACCTATTTCTATTAACTTTCTTTCTCCCTAATTAGGAACAACTTCCTTCTCTCTCTCTCTCTCTCTCTCTCTCTCTCTGTTTTTTTGTTTGTTTCTTTGTTTTTTCACTCTACATCTAGCTATTGATTTATAACTGCTGCAGGGCTACCATTTCTCAGAATGTATAATAGTGGGAGGTCTTTAATCAAAAAGTATGCAAAAAAGGGGAAAAATGATTCAAAATCAAGGTTTTTTTTGTAAAATCCAAGTGAAAAAAATCTGTCATGGCACAGTGCAAAATGTAGGTGAACTACAGGTAGAACGTTTAACCAGCACTGCATAGTCAGCTGTATTTCTGCTTTTCATGCCACATCATAACACTAACCCCAGGTGCCTGCAGACACACCTTCACAAAGCTCTTCTGGCCTGTCCTTCTTCTGTGACAGTTTGTGGAATCTCTTTCCTTGCTCTTTCTCCCTGTCAGTACGTTTGGGTGTTTATTTTTGTTCTTAGAAAACAGAAGTAATAAGTGGAAAAAGTGTGCCTTGGCCTCGCAGTGACAGAGCTTGCAGGCACTCTGCACTGCACTGAACAAAATTGTGTGACAGTACTGCTTTTCTCTGGCCTTCAACTTTTCATTTCATCAGCTATGATAGATTTGATACCTGCAGACTGTTTTCCAAAGATATTTTAAGAGATAATTGCAGTAACTCAGAAAAGTTAGTCAAACGAAAGCTTTCTTTAGTCTGTCACAGCAAGATACCAAAGGAAAAAAAGGCCTAAACCATGAAAAATGTGTCTCGCTCACACTGCAATCTTTCCTATCGGACTTTCATAAATTCCACTTTTCTCAATTATCTTTATTTCTGAGTTGGAGAAAAGACTTCTTACATTTGGTTTTACTAGGCATTTTATGTAGTTTTCAGCGCTGTAGAAAAAAAAAAAAGAGGATATATAATTTTTAGAAAATTAATGCAAAATTTATATTGTTTTGTTTTGTAGGTGTGTTAAGCACAAATTTATTACCAAAGGAAAAAGCGTATCTTGGCCTTTATTTCTCATCATCAAATCTCAAATGACTCTAATGACTACAATAGTTTAATTCAGGATTAAGAAGCATAGGACCAAGTAACACCAGTAGAACAAATGTAATTGATGTTAACATGTAATAAAATATTTAATGAGACAACATTTTGTACAATGAAACTTTTAAGAATAATGGAATCACATCTTAGCTGAGGTTGAAAGGAGCCTGTGGATCCATCTGCTCCAATTTCTGCTCAAGCAGGAACACACAGAGCAGGCTGCTCTGAATCATGTCCAGGTGCTGCTGAAGATCATCTCCAAGGCAAGAATCCACAGTCTTTCTGGGTAGCCTGTGCCAATGCTCTGTCAACTGCGCAGTAAAATGTTTCCTTATGTTCAGATGGAATGTCCTGTGTTCCAGTTTGTGCCCATTGCTTCTTGTCTTGGCATTGGCACCCTCTTTTCTGGCATTTACAAACGCTGATGAGAACATCCTGAGCTTTTCCTTCTCCAGTCTGAATGGACTGCTCTTTCTGCCTTTCCTCACAAAAGAGAGGAAGCTTAATCTCCTTCATGCCCTTTTGCTGGACCATCTCCAGTATGCCCATGTCTCTCTTGTTCTGGGAAGCCTAGAGTTGGGTATGGTCCAGTACTCCATATGTGGCTTCACCAATGCTAAGGAGAGGGGAAAGATCACCTCCCTTGACTACTGGCAGCATTTTGCCTCATGCAATGCAGTTACCATTTGCCTTCTTTGCTTCAAGGGCACAGTGCAAGCTCAACTTGGTGTCCAACAGGACTCCAGTTTCTTTTCTGGATACATGCTTTTCAGCATGATGGCCTTTAGACTGTACTGCTGCATTGGGCTCTTCCTTTCTAGGTGCAGATATTTACACTTCTTATTAAACTTCATGAGATTCCTGACAGCATATTTTTGCAGTTTGTTGAAGTTCGTCTGGATGGCAGCTCAGCTGTTTGCCATATCATCAGCCACTCTTCCCAGTTTTGTGCCATCAACAAATTTGCTGAGGATACTGTCTGTCCCATCATTCAAGTCATTAATGAAGATATTAGACATGCATCTATATCTATTGAATGTATCGTTCACAGTTTCTCTCTCCTTTTAGGGCATAACCGTCCAGAGCACAAGAATGTTGAAGAGGGATTATAGGCATTTGTAGTTAAACTTGCAACCCATATAAGTTTTAAAAGTTTGAGTGCTTAAAGTCTTATTGTGATATTCAGTAAAGCTGCAGGATATACAGGATAGATAATCTTGCTCTGAAAGAAAGCACTACGGTGATAATATTATCCCTCAGTAAAGTAAGAATGTGTTTTAACTTGTTGTCACTTGATTAAACTGATATCATAGGCTTTTGTTTCTTCCTTTTTAGAGGAAATTTATTTGAGTTTTATTTGGGTTTTTTGTTGTTGTTTTTCTTTCTGTTCTTGTTTTTTTTTTTTTTTTTCTGTGCTTTTTTTTTTTTCAGATAGCTTGTGTGGAGGAACAAGACACCATGAATCATTTCATTCAGCTCTGAAGGTACACGCAATAATACAGACTGTATGTGAAGAGATGAAAATGCAAGAACATATACTGATTTCTATCTTTAACTTATCAAAATGTGACATCCGAAGGTCATTGCCTATTTTTCTGTGCCTATATATACGGAGAGTGTCCTAATGTAATTTGCCACCCCATGCTATACTTCCATAGTGAAAGGCATAATCAAATCTGTTGTTTGCTCATTAAATTTTCTGTTGTTTGTATTATTAGTAGCATAGGTGAAAACATATCTAGACATCTAGAAAAGGAGAGATACTTTAGGATGTACAGGAAGGTCTGAGTGTGCTGTGGCCCTAGAAAATAATTAAGGTTCATCAAGGCCATCAAGGTTCATTCACATAATAACATTTTTTACTAAATATGGCAAATTGAGCAGTTAATATTTGTATTGTTTCTTTTTAAATCTGACAAATTACTGCAGACTTACCAAGTTTCAACAGCCTTGGGTTTAAAATAATCTGTAGTAAAACTAGTAGTCTACTCTGCTTACAACAGCAGTGTTTCTAGCAATTTTTACCAGATGGTGGTTACCCCAAGGGGAACAAATGAAAATGTGGTATATAATCTTTTTTATCTATTGTGCTCTACAGAATCAAAAATGAGCAGTTTGTTGGCTGCAGCTGAAACACAAAAACCTCTACTTCTCAATCTCTTTGCAACATGTACTGTTTCAAAGGTGAAATGCCATACTAAGAATAAGAAAGAACAACTTGCTGGGTTTAGGGAAAAAATGACCACACATTAATGTGCTTCAACTGAAAAGCCATAAGTTATGCCCCAGAGGATCCTGGGAATTAAGGACGGTGTTTGAGAGAGGGCAGCTAAAGTGCAAGTTATGTATGACTTGATAGATAGCTTTTGCAACATAACGGTTCATGTGCGTGATCTTAAATTCTTGTGGTTTCCATAGGAAACTTCCTTTTGGGGTTTTCTTATCAGTGCAGGAGTAGCAGAAAGCTGAATGTGTAGCACTGATGAAATCAAATAAAATCAAATGGCACTTTGGAGTGCCACTGAGGAGGTAATCATGTTCACCTAGAAAACTCTATCTCACATTGTAAATGTATATTTCCAAAAAATCAAACTAGAGCTAATAGAACCAAAAACTTTAGAACTAAAATGCTCACATCATTGTAAATCTGAGAAACAAAGCCACTGCTTTGGTAAAGATGGACTCCAAAAAAAAAAAAAAAAAATATATATATATATATATATACATACATACACAGATAGAATGAAGAAGGTAGAAAATGCCATCACTTAGTGGAATGTTTGTGAAATATTTAACTGAAAGCTAAAACATCATAAGAACCATTTGAACTTGAATTTTTTTCTTGAGGGGAGATCCTATATATAAGCGTGGAATTGGATAGCACAGAAGTATTGGAGGCAGACATATATAAATTAAGAATTTGCTAATAGAAGATTTCAATTAATTCTCCAGCACACAGGTTAGACAAAATGGGAGTGACGGGCTGAAGATATTTTTTATTTTTTAATGCTGGCAATTCAGACACGTGAAGTGGTTTGGATTAGAATAGAAAAATATGTCAAATATTCATGTTTCATTATACTGCTTGGCAGAATGGATTCAAAGGTTGCCCTATGACTTCAGCCAGTTCATAGCCTTACCTCAGACATCTGCAGGTATTTGAATACAGAAAAACTGAAATTAAAACTATTAGTGCTTATAATAAGTATTTATTAGGATAAAAGAATAGCCACATGGCAATAATGTCACAGTCACAACAATATAAGATTTCAAAAACTATCAAATCAAATGCAAGCAAAACACATTCAAAAAATAATTACATTTCACTAATACTTTGAAGATTGATATTTCTTGTCATAGTGCATGAGGCAATTATGTTTTCTTTGTTGATAGTGTGTTAAGAACTTCAGGAGAAAATGACTACATTTTCTTACGGAATCAAAATGTCATTATCTGCAGGTTGGCTTTTTTTGCTGTTTTGTTTTGCATGCATGTCTGTGTGTATTGCTTTGTTTGTTTTCTCACTCAGTAGTTTAAATACCATATTTATGAGAGTCTGAGCTTTAATTAAAAAAATTAGGAATTTTCCAACTCAGATTCATAAATCTAATTTTTAGAAAAATAGAAACAAAAGAAACTCCAAACTGCGAGGGCAGTACAAGTGGAACAATGCACCTCAGTTTTTGTTTAGTCTTTATCCCATGTTTTCTGCCTTATGAGGAGTACTAAAGAATTAAAATTGAACAATTTATGTTGTTTTGAATATAGGAGAAAACAAGAATGACTATATTTCTAAAATATTTCATTGCCTTTTGTGTGTGTGTGTGTGTGTGTAGTGGAAAGTGTCTAATCTTGCCTAATTCAGAACCTGCACTTTTGTTACTGTCTTCAGTCATAGAATCACTGAATTTGCAGCTCAAAAATGTAAATTTGACCAATGGAAAGCTAGTCACAGCTGCAGAATAAGCATGCCCACACAGAGGCTAGTCAAATGTCTGTATTCTATGTATATCAAGGTATGTATCTGTATCACATGTGATATGATACATGTTACATACATTTACCTAACTATCTGTGTATTTTGCACTACTGGGATTTATATCAGGATGATGAAATGAAGCAAAATTGCCTTGCTGGTTGATCCTGCCAGTGGAAAAAAAAACAAAACAAACCAAGCATCTGTTCTCCTTTCTCATCTGGTTTGTTGTACTTGATCTGAGTAGCAGATCTTGCCACTTCCCTTTAAAGGAAAAATATCTTAAAAACTATCTATATTCCCATAAATGTTCACTGTCTGTGTTGTAATATGTTACTACTTTGTTTTCTGTTCCCAGAGTCCTCATGAGAATTAAATATTAATATATATATATACAACATGTACATATATATATACATATATGTATACATATATATATACAACATGTACATGTAACCTCGAGGAGGCCTTAGAATGTGAGCCTTGCTGCCTACTGCAATGTGCATCTGTGTGATTTGCTGCGAAGTTGGTCCAGTGTTTGAGTGAAATCAGCTCACAAATAAAAGATATGTATGCAAAGTAGGACTGAAAGCAAAGTCATAGCTCTAAGGAATGAGTGCTACTGTGCAGATTATTGTGGGTTTTTGGTTTTTTTTTTCAAGATATGTCCTTGCCTTTTCATCCTTAAATGCACACCTGTGGGGCTTGGTACAGTGAAAACCACTGTGGTCATATTTAATACTACTTGTCTTTTATTCAAGTAGTTAAAAATTGCATTATGATGGAGATTAAACTTTTGTTTTGGCCTTTTTTTTTTCCTAAGAGTTCAGGATTACCATATATTTTAGCACTTTTGAATCAGGTGGGAAGTGTGGCTATATTTTTTTTCTAGTGTTAACCTTCTAATTAAAGAAATAAATAGCTACATACGAACTTGAAACAAAAGATATTAATCAGTTGTTGCTGTAGAAAACTAGAAAGTAATTCAGTGAAGAAAATGCACTCATTGATTCACTCAATCCTTAGCATATATCTGCAAGGAAAACAGTCATTGCAGATTGTAGGTAAAAAAAATAGGAAAGAATATAAAAGGCTCAAAATTTGCCTCATATTTTTAAATGCAATTTTTTTTTTTTAATTTAGTTGTACATTTTAGAAGCAAATTAGCTTTCAATAGTCATATAATTTAATTTAATAACATGCAGTCAGACAGTACTGTTATGACATTTCCAACAAAAAAACCTACTACATTAGAGATTTTTAAGGCCAAAAGTGTCCTTTAGCTAATCTACTCTGACCTCTTCAGTATCATAGGCCGTGAAAATTGTTATTGCTTTGGGTTACAGCATAGATGTGTTCAGTTCAAAAGACAATAAAAAATTCTACATTAATGAACTATGAAGAAGGTCAGTCACTTAAACTGGAGAATAGTTGTACATAATCAATTTTATTTTTTTTAAAAGAACATCCTGTCTAAAAAAATACAAGACTGAATATAGGCAAAGTTAGCTTCTATTCACAGTGATATATATACTGATTTTAAACACTTTCAAGGACAAGGAATTTAAATTTAACTTGTGTCTTCAGCTTTTTATACATCCCATAAATTCAACTGATAAGAAACTGAAATGTCTGTCTGTCTTATACTTTTTGTGTGTAGTGCTTACACTGTATACAGCAAAATTAACCATACCTGAACAATAATCATACAATGGAATGTTGTTTATGTATGTTTATAAAATAAAAAAGTTTCAAGCATTAAGTAGAATAATTGTTGCATATATTACTTATGAAATCCTTTCAAAATGACTTATATAACGTAATAATTTTCCATTTTTAGCTTAATTTTCACTCCTCTTTATTATTATTTTTTTAGTTATGTTAGTAATGATTGACTTTTCCTGTTGGTTAATATTATGGGTTTACAAAGAAACAAATGTCTAACTGTTCCAGTTTGAGATTCCTCAGTAAATTGAACATTAATGGGCAGTATTCTGTGAGAAGTTTTGAAGAAATGCCTGAAAAACAAGAACAAAATGTCTTCTATGCGTAACATGGATTTTGCACAATTTAAGGGAACTATAGAAGATACGGACATCCAGTGTCACCAAAACACATGTGAATGAACTCAGAACTTATTATGCTATCTACAGAGTCAATATCAACACACTATTCAAAGAAGAGTAAACCAATTTCCCCTCCTCTAAAAGAATGCATCATGAAAAGGCTATCAAAACTAAAACAAAATCCATGCTAATTTTTGTCTTTTCTTTAGAAGCTTTGTATTTACTAGTTTTTATGAATCTGGGAATATTATGAGAATGTAATAATTGCTGAGTCAGAACCTACATTCTATTATCAAGTATTGGTGATAGTAACATTCCCAGTACTGACTTTTCCCAACTTTCACAGAATCGCAGAATCTTAGATGTTGGAAGGGACCTCTAGAGATCATCTAGTCCAATCCTCCTGCTAGAGCAGGTTCTCTGCAGTGGGTTGCACAGAAAAGCAAGTGAATTTTGAGTATCTCCAGGGAAGGAAACTCCACAACATCTCTGGGCAGCATGTTCCAATGCTGTCACCATCAAAGTTAAAAAAAAATTTCCACATGTTCAGATGGAACCTCCTGTGTTCCACACTTCTTGTGTCTCGTTCTGTTGCTGGACACTACTGAAAAAATTCTGTCTCTATCTTCTTGATTCCAGCATTTTAGATAAACATTGATAAGGTCTCCTCTCAGCCTTCTCCAATCTGAACAGTCACAGATCTCAAAACCTTTCATCATAAAGGAGATGCTTCAGACTCCTCATAATCTTTGTTGCCTTCTGCTGGACTCTCTCCAGTAGTTCCCCATCTCTCTTGGACCGAGAAGCACAGAACTGAACACCTTGAGACACTGTGGTCTCACCAGGGCTGAGTGGAAGGGAGAATGGGGAAAATGTCTTTGAATGTCT